CACATAAAGACAATGCATCCTTTGCACATATACACAGAAATACACAATGCATCCCTTACACACACATGCAAACACACACTGCTTCTCTTACACACACAGAAACACAATGCATCTCTTACACACACTCAACGCACCCCTTACAGACACACACTGCATCCCTTACATACACAGAAACACACTTTGCATCCCTTATGCATACAAACACAGATTCACACAATGCATCCCTTACACACAACAAGAAACACACAATACATCCCTTATACACAAACACTCACTGCTTTCTATCCCTTACACAAAAACACACTGCTTCCACTACACACAAACACACTGCATCACCTACACAAACTGGTATCCCTATACACTACATTCGGTAAGCACAGACATTAGATCCTCTACAGTAACACATAACACATCCCCTACACACTCTACTCCCTGTGAGCGAACTCATGGGTGGAACATGTAGGTGGACTTATGGGTGGGCTTTATGGGCATACTCACCGTCAGGCCCTGGGGCCCAGACCTTGAGCTATGTAAGAGGCCCCAAAAAATGGAGCTGCTTCCCGTTCTCCCAGAACATTGAATTTTGTGACCACAGTTGCAAACAGCCTCCAGAGATCCTGTTCTAGACCAGTGGAGCCAGACTGCAGCCAGAGCCCATCACCATCCTCATCTGATTGTAAGTAGGCAATCTAGTATATTATTAGTGACACAAATCTCTAATTTACCTCACATTAAATGGACACTATAGTCCCCAGAACCACTGCAGCTTAATAAAGTTGTTCTGGTGTCCATAGTTTTTCCCTGCAGGCTTTTTAATGTAAACACACACTGTGTGCACACTGGCACTAGTTCATATGGCAGATCATATGGGTGGGGCATTGCGATGTCCCGGGGGGGGGGGGGGCGGCAAATCTTTCTTTTGCCTAGGGCGGCAAAAATCCTTGCACCGGCCCTGTACACTACAGTATCAGTAATAGACTATAGTATCAGTAACTATATACAATAGTATCAGTAATAGTAACAGTGGCTGTTTAAGACTACGACTAAGCCCCTGTAGTGTGGGATGCTGGGAGGAACTGACTGTGTCACTTCCTTCCACACAGAAAGCGCCGAGTGGGACGGAGAGCGTGAGCAGCACACCAGCCTCAGCCAGTAGCATGCAGCACTCCAAGCAAGTAATCCTCTTGCAGGGTAAAGGTAATATAAGTGGTGGGTGTGTGTGTGTGTGTGTGTGTGTCCACTAGTCCTAGCAGGGACTCTCCTCCGCTGGTTACTCCAAAATATACTCTGGGACAAGTAAAGTACTCCAAGGGGACAGCCAAACACAGTAGAGTAATCCAGGAATCTCACACATCCTCCTCAGCAACTGGACGACACTTCGCTCTGGGGGTATAACTGGTTTTATGTCAATCCCCATGCAAAGGGCTTCCTGATACCCATTCCAGGGGCATTCCCCACTGGACCTGAGAGTACACTGAGATAAAATACACAACATGATTATATTACTCTCAGGTCCAGGACATATGTAGTAATAGCACCCTAAAACATATAGTTGGCAAGTCTTATATCCCCCAGATTGCCTGGATCTGAGCGTTTGCCCAAAAGGGTTCCATGAAATCAGGCTGTGCGGTTGGTCTCTTTCAGGGGTGTAAAACATACAAAAAAAAAAAGAATGAACTGTTCGTGTGTATGCTCATCCCACATATGTTGTTCGGGAGTATGCTCCCCCGAACGCTACTCTGTTTGTATAAAATCTGCCGAACAAAACCGGAGGTGGAAGTCCCAGCGGTGTTGAATACAATTTACCGAACAACCATGCGAACACGGTGAAGAGCTGGATAATCCAGGGACAGGGTGATCTGTCGCACACATGCAGTATAAGTAAAAACATACGAAATAACAGGGGGGGAGGGGAAGATACGGACAGCCCATAGAAGGAAAATAATGTAATGTCCAAAGGTTCATTCCGCTACAGTGTGCATATGTGTGTATTTGAGTGTGTGTATATCTTTGTGCCAGTGTGTATCTGTGTGCCAGTATATGAGTGTGTGTGTGTGTATTTGAGTTTGTGTGTATATCTTTGTGCCAGTTTATATCTGTGTGTCAGTATATGTGTCTGTGTATATGTGCCAGTGTATGTACACATACACAGACACACACGCATGGACACATACAGACAGACAGATTCATACAGACATAGACAGGCACACACGAGACACACATACATACAGGCCGAAACACACACACAAGACACACATACATACAAAGACACAGACATACAAACAGACAGGCAAAAATACATGGGGAACCCGATGGACCCCTTGAACGGCGGCCTCGGCGGTTTGGCTGGCGGGCCGGGGCCGCAAAACATGGTGACTGGTACCTGGTCGGGCCCCCTGGAGCGTCGGCCCGGTCGAAGCTGCGGCCCCTGCGACCCCTATATGTACGTCACTGCCAACACCAACTCTACAGACAGAAACACACCTGCTCCGGAGTACTACAATCTGTTAACCATCTGTAGAAATTTGCGAAAAAAGAAACCCTTACACTCTATTAATTAAAAGGTTTGTGCTACCATGCAAAGAAATGTTCAGGAGGTTCCACGGTGTTGGTACACGATGTCAAAGGGTTCCACGAGAACCCTGCACTATAGTATCAGTAATGCCTGTTTGTATTGCTGTGACTGGAGTGTTCCTTTAAGTTCCAATGAGAGCAGCAATAACCAAGAATCACTCACCACCAGCTTCTGCAGCTCTCAGCGTTTCAGTGGGTGCCGGCCTCACTTTGATTTTCCTTGGCATGCGGACTCGTTTAGCATTACCCTTCATGCTGACACTTTGTAGCTCAGTAGCTTCTTGTTTCTTTAAACAAAGTTTATTGGTTTCCAAGCAACAGCTGACAAGGAAGGTTGCTGCCACCTGCTGTTTGTGAATGGCACTGCAGAATATTGAAACATTCATTCACGTCTGAATTACTAAGGATTGAAACAGGATTTAAATCTTAGCCCAAAATGGAAATGTTAGCTACATTTTCAGTTAATGAAATTTAAAAATGAACTTTGGATTCCAATCAGTTCACACTAGTGATAATCCAGAACAGCGTGGACAGCAGCTCAGCCTAAAAAAGCTGACTGGGCTTTAAAGATTCATTGAGGCTGTCAGATTTGTTCACTAAAGCAACAATTGTTGGGGATTCAAAGTGAAATTCTACATTTACTCTAAAATAGCTGAATTTGAAATCATTTCCAAGTCAAACCTGTTTTCAGATTGGCAATTTTAAATTTACATATGAAAAGCATTTTGAATTTACTTTGAATTCTGGGCAAGTCTCCTTGGAACTCTCCAGTGATATTACGGGCATGTCGTATCTGGCTCTCCAGTGATATTACGGTCATGTCTTACCTGGCTCTCCAGTGATATTACGGGCATGTCGTATCTGGCTCTCCAGTGATATTACGGACATGTCTTACGGGCATGTCGTATCTGGTTCTCCAGTAATATAGAAACATAGATTGTGACGGCAGATAAAAACCATTTGGCCCATCTAGTCTGCCCAATTTTCTAAATACTTTCATTAGTCCCTGGCCTTATCTTATAGTTAGGATAGCCTTATGCCTAAACTCCTTTACTGTGTTAACTTCTACCACTTCAGCTGGAAGGCTACCCTCTCGGTAAAGTAATACTTCCTGATATTTTTAAACCTTTGTCCCTCTAATTTAAGACTATGTCCTCTTGTTGTGGTAGTTTTTCTTCTTTTACATATAGTCTCCTCCTTTACTGTGTTGATTCCCTTTATGTATTTAAATGTTTCTATCATATCCCCCCTGTCTCGTCTTTCCTCCAAGCTATACATGTTAAGATCCTTTAACCTTTCCTGGTAAGTTTTATCCGCAATCCATGAACCAGTTTAGTAGCCCTTCTCTGAACTCTCTCTAAGGTATCAATATCCTTCTGAAGATACGGTCTCCAGTACTGCGTACAATACTCCAAGTGAGGTCTCACCAGTGTTCTGTACATTGGCATGAGCACTTCCCTCTTTCTACTGCTAATACCATCAGCTGGCATAACTTACCATCAGCTGGCTGCCAGGTCTGGAATGCACAGCAGTGGACACCTTTCTGCAAGAATAGCTGTAGATGTGGCTCCATGAATGACAGGGTGCTGTATTGAGTGAGGTCCCTTCAGGTGTTGATTATTCTTCTGACTCCCTAGTGGCTGGATCAACCATGATTCTAACTTACTGAATCTGTCCTGCAGGGTTCCTATGTTACTTCCAATATTTGCAATCCTGGTCCTGGACCTTCAGTGTAGTCCTCAACTTTCATCCTCCAGGAGAGGCTTCCATTGGAGACTTGTTCAGTTTCTGGGAATTCTTAGAACGTCTCAGGATGATTGCAGGTCACTAGAAACCTGTTCTGGGTTCCTGACACGCAGTACATGGACCAACTGGTGTCACTGGTGCATTGCTAGGGACCTTGATCCCTTTACTATCCCTGTAGTTTCGATTTTGAACCTCCTACCCAGTCAGTTTGTTTTAAGTCCTACTGTACAGATAATCTATTCCGCTATGCCATTTCAGAAGCCCATGTTCTGTTGCAGAGAGTTTCGGTATGTATAAACCCTCTTTTATGTCCTTTGCCCAGGTATTCACAAATGTAGGATGTGACGGCAATCCATCAGCTATTGCGGGATTGAAAGGAAAATGTCAATCTTTCCTTTAGACCAGGCTTCCTCAAACTCCGGCCCTCCAGATGTTGCTGAACTACAACTCATGATTCTATGAGTGAAATAGATAGGCTGAGAATCATGGGAGTTGTAGTTCAACAACATCTGGAGGCCAGAGTTTGGGGAAGCCTGTCTGAGACAATTGTCTGCCAAGTTTGCACTCATCCTTTTAGTTTTGCCAGGTTTCTGAGATTCAAGCTTTGGATGTGGATACTTTTTCTCCAGAAGGTTTTATGTTCTCCATTGCCAACAGGACAAATTCTGATTGCTCATCCATTTTTGTAGAGCAGCCTCACCTTTATGTTATCAATTGTCACATTATTTGAAGGTTATACCCCTCTCCATTCTTCTTGGTCCTGTCAGCATTTCATCTCTCATCTCGTGTTAACCCTCGGTGCTACAGAAATGCCAATAATAATAATAATCTAGAAACTGTATCTACCTTAGCTAGAGGGATCCACAGGATTCTTACCAGAGAGTGAATTGCCCCGTTGCTTGGAGTCTACTTGGTTCAGGGTGCAGTTGTTTTTGCTTTGATATCGTGTGCCTCTCTTACTGGTATCTTGAAGTTGGTGGGAAGATTATTCGAGTCCACCTATTGTACCTTTTATTTCTATTAGGCAATCCCTTTTCATTAGCGTTAAAACTGAAAAATATAAAACCTGTCATGTCTTAAAAATCGAACAGTTTATTAACATTATCTACAGTACATATATAGATTGTACTATGTGTTACATCTCATTTTGACTTTAAAACTGGATTTTTGCCGCCTGTACCCGACAATACACAGTATACAACTCATCTTAAGAGTGTAACAATGTTAGCCGCTAAAGACACGGCATGTTATTACCCGTTGCTTACATGACAATGCTCTATTACCCCACCTTTGAACATATGTTAAGGATACGGCTTGTCTTCACAATACAGTGGTCGTAATCCCGTTAACAGGCACAAACCTTTTCCTTAACCCACTGCAAAACAAGACAAAGCGCTATTACGCAAACACTCAGCCTAGGCAATACACTATTGGCATTACACTGCGACTAATGACCAAACATTAAACTATAACACCCATCACTGTTGCATGGTCAAATGTTAACACCAAACATAATCAAAGCTCCGGTCTTAAAAATACAATGTGAGATTATGTCAATCACCTTTGTGTCTTATCTTAAACGGTTCCCTTCAATGTAACCAAACCATTGAATGTTTTTAATAGTTTTGACTTCTCAAACCTCTTTATTAAAGGTGCTTAAGATCGCTACTTCCCCACTTCAGTTAGACGAGACACCTGTTAAGATAGTTTACCACTTGAGCTGTGAAACGTATACTGTAATTCTGTTATATATTTAACGCAAGTATGAGTCATTGTTCTACTACATTATTATCGCTTGGATTGTATTACATGTTCCAATATAAAAAAAAAAAATGACTAAAGTCCATCAAGTTAAACCTTAAAACACTTTATGTTCCAAGACGGGTAACGTTTGGATGCAGATGCCTCTAAAAGAATATAACTTTTCACTCAGTGATGTGTTTACCCCTACAGCCATGATGCAGTAAATTGCCAGCCCAATGTGGGCTCATGCTACGGTCCTGTATCATACACATCGATACAGTAGACACCTTTTTTGGTGAATTTATGAAGTATTCTTACATCAGCTTTACACCTGACATGATGCTACACCTTACCAAACAGTTTGGAGTCTCAGTAGGTGCTCTATTAAAGGACCACTAGTTACCCAGACCACTTCAGCTCAATGAAGTGGTCTGGGTGCCAGGTACCCCAGGTTTTAACCCTTCAGATGCAAACATAGCAGTTTCAGAGAAACTGCTATGTTTATATTGCAGGGTTAATCCAGCCTCTAGTGGCTGTCTGCATGACAGCCGCTAGAGGCGCTTCCGCAACATTCAATGCGAAAAGCGCATTGAGCATGCAGAACATCCATAGAAAAGCATTAAGTAATGCTTTCCTGTGGGCGGTTTGAATGCGCACGCGCGGCTCTGACCACGCATGCGCATTCGGCTCCACTCGGGAGCTGACGTCGGAGGGGTAGGAGAGGTCACCAGCGCTGGATTAAGGTAAGTGGCTGAAGGGGTTTTAACCCCTTCAGCCCAGCGGGAGGGGGGAAACCTAAGGACTATATAGTACCAGGAAAACAAGTTTGTTTTCCTGGCACTATATTGGTTCTTTAAGGCACATTTCTACATTTTAGAGGGGAATGGTCATATTCTTAATATCTCATACGATTATCAAGTAGGGATTAGTTATTTGTAATAATGTATAACTTTGTTTCCGCCTATTGGCAGAGTGGATTTGGCAGCTATTTTGTTTCATTTGTGTTTTTTACGGTTTCGTTTTCCCTCTGACACTTGCTCCTTCTATTACTATATACATTTGGCTCTGCATCTGTAGTGTAACAGGATAGATTTAAAGAGAGTCCTCGTGATATTTCAATTATTTAGAGAGACTGATGGAATTAAGCAGCTATACTGCAAATCACTTTATTCTTCAGTACTACCGCTTAGATTTAAATTACTCACAAATATTAATCCCTGGTATGTTTACTGTATCTTCATGCTGTGTCCTGTTCACTTATTTGATGTCTGAATAAAGATCATATTTAACAAATTTGTGCTCTGTTTTGTCATTTTGTGGAGGCAATCCCTGTATTGGTGCCCCCTTAGAGGCTCTCTAAGCTACACCTGGCAGTCTGTAAGTAAGCATGGATGTCAAGGGGTGAATAGGGCAGGAATTAGGAAGGGGTCATCACATTATTTTTTGGATCAAGCCACACGTTTTTCTTTTCCTTATAAGACATTTATTCATCAAGACAGCCCAATGAAAATTGTAAGCATTCTGTAGCTCCTGATTATGTTGTCTGTCATTTTGTGTATTATTTGTGTGTCACAGAAGCCGCAATGGTTCAGTAATGAAGAATTGGGGATTCCTTCGCTTTATGAAACATCAAACATTTTGAATAGATTGGGTAAGCCCTTCATCAATCTCCTTTAATGAGGACAAGCTAAGCTGCAGATTGAAGGCAGTTGCAGTAGATGTGATGCTCAGCCATTTTGTTATATTGTATTGATACGGTTTAGATTTTATTGTGTTGCACCAAGATTGCATATATAGAGATTTGCATTTTATTAGATTGTGTTTTTATCATGTTTTATTTTCTATGTATAGGCTATGAATCCAAGCAGTTTGCAGCGGAATGGACATTTGCAAGTTACCTTTAATTCCCTTTATTGGCTGTCTGTATCTTTCCCCCCTGTTATTGTGTGTGTTTTGCCAGTTACTTTGTGTGGTTCTTCTTTGGCCGTTCGGGAGACTTCATACGAACGGAATCCATTTGTCTCTTAGAACATTAACCACTTAAGTGCGAAACCGCAAGGGAAACAATTAATGAGTGCTTCCCCAGTGTGGCCGCCATTTCGTATAACCGAACACGTGGCTGAGAGAATGGTGGCCATCTTGTCTCCCAAATGAGGGCAGCGGTACTTGGTCGTCGTGTACCTGGAACTAATTTCGGCTTGGCACTTGTGCAAACTCCGGTAAAACTGTCGACCGCTGGCCGTTCCGGTTCCCGACCACCTACACGAACGGCATTCGGAAGATATAAAGTAACGAGCAGGGAGAACATTCGTATTGTGAATTCCCTTGTATGGTTTTCGCAAAGGAATCTCACGAACAGAGACCGGCCAGGGCACCTATTCTCCAGGAACTACAAATTTGTTTTGGGAAAAATAAACCTTTATTTGTAACGGCAGTGGGGTGTGTGTGTGTATATATATATATATATATTTAAATAAATAAAAACGTAGTTCACCCCTCCCCCTAGTTATATGGCCACCAGACAAGAGATTATTAGTACTAATGATCTCTGGGCCAATAGAATGATCACAGAGAAGCATTCAATGTAATGCATAGCTCTATTCTGTCTTTGTATGGTGCATAGGAAGTGCATACTCGCAGCTGAGTGACAACCAGGAAGGTGCAAACTAGATACTTTATAAAAATGCGGACTTGGAGTATTCCTTTAAGAATTATGGAAGCCCCAGCTACTTCCTAAAAAACAAAAAGCAGAAAACTCACATAAAAGATTGACAACTTATCAATTTATTTCACAATTTCCAGACAGGGAGAATGAACAAGAGCAATTGGTGGTGGTGACTCCCCGCTGGATGGGGGGGGGGCAGAGGATATGCATGTGTTTCCCTCAAGCTAGTACAACGCCCCTTCATATATGCACAACTAAAAATCTTGATACAGCTTTAAAAAACAAAAACAAACCAAAATAAAAAAACTAATTTGTATGCATTACCCATCCCACCCCTCTCAAATGCAGGCCATTGCACAAGCTGGAACCTCAACTTACGCCACCCCCTCCATCTCATTATCCTTTATCCAAATAAGAATGTGAATGTGTAGATAGCTCTCTTTCTTTAACGGGCTCAGTAGTTTGTCCACCATGCACTCAGCTTTAGATACTCAATGTATCTTTGCAAACCTGGACAGAATACATTTCAGACCAACATAACGATGACATGAAGAATAGGGACATTGAAGCGTGGAAGCCGTTTCTCTTTTCACATGGATCTCCAAGACACAAAGAAGAAAACAAATAGGCAGAAAGAGAGAAATACATGTAACAAAGAAAACACAGATCCAAACTGTGTTTAAACAAATCCAAAGTGGGGGGCAAAGGCAAGGTCCTGGTTTGCAGAATGGCAAGTGTTTGTCTTTTCAGGAGAAGCTGTTGGATGAGATGCTAATGAGAGCTCTGTGCTTTATGGAGGAGACAGATTGGTCCCAGCATGAAATGCAGTAAAATCAGAGTGGTCAAAGATAAAGGAAGGGGAGTCTTCATTCAACTGGGGGGTCTGGGTATTATTTTCTAGGTCACAATGACATTAGTCCATTGAATAATAAAATAAAATGTAAAAAAAAAAAAGCATCTATGGTGCATCCTGTAGACCTGCAAAGAAGAGACACCAATTAAAAAACAAAACATCTTTACCAATGTACGTACTGTAGTTCAAAAACCTCTCTAGAACTCATGTCGTCCCCTGACTACTCTTTCCATAGTGCCAACTATATTCTCTCACATACCAGTGAGCAGACCTTGTCTCAACATTCAATTACCCATCATCACCTGTCTCAGCGATGTCGGTCCTTGTCTCGATGCCGCTCATGGTAATAATCTTCTGAGCGCTCATCATGGTTGTCTCTGTGACGTCGGCTGCTGCCTTCCCGGGATCGGCTGGGTGAACGATCTCTGGACCTGTGCCGCTTCCTGCTTAGAGGAACATACCATTACTTCTACAAAGACTGTCAAGGTGAACTCTACAAATGTCTGAGTTTTGCTTTGTGTGTGTATATATATGTAGGACACCATCAACACTGAGCATGGAGACGGTGACTTTGTTATGGAAGTCAATTACTGTTTTATTTCACCTTTTAACACAGTAAAGTGCAGATGTATACAAGAGAATAATAACTAGTTCTCTGTCCTGCCATTTGCTTTGTAGTACCTGATAGAATTGGCTTTGTCTTGAATGCCATGGAGACAGTCTCTGAGAGAGGCCAGCAGCACCCGACAGCGGTCATCACTTGCCACACGTGACTCTTTAATTACAGCAATGGCTGTTTCAAGAGTTTTTATGGCGTTTGAGTAGTCACCTAAATTAAAAGATGGCAGAAGTTAGAAATGAGCACTATGATAGAAAAGTAAGAAAATGATACTGAATAGGAATGGATAACATTACAGTACAAAGAAGAGCATTTAGAGCCGCACTACCTGAAGTTGCTCCACAGACTGCATTAGATAGAGCACTCCTAGAAATAGCTCGATTTCTGTTCATTAACTCTTCAAATTCTGCTTCACTCACATGTGGAATTGGACCCTTTAAGTCCCTAAAAAGATAAAGGCACTTATTATCCATTATGATATGCAAAGCAAGAATGTACAGACAGCATAACCAATCACAGTCAGAGAGCTAGTAAGAAGCATCTAAAAGTCTAACTGTCTGGAAACACATGACTGTATCAAAGGAAATGGGCCACCAACACTGCAATGACTGTAGGAAATGGGCCACCCGCGCTGCAATGTCTGTATTCAAGGAAATGGGCAACCCGCGCTGCAATGTCTGTATTCAAGGAAATGGGCAACCCGCGCTGCAATAACTGTATCAAAGGAAATGGGCAACCTGTGCTGCAATGACTGTATTCAAGGAAATTGGCAACCCGCGCTGCAATGACTTTCAAAGGAAATGGGCCTCCCGCGCTGCAATGACTATCAAAGGAAATGGGCCTCCCGCGCTGCAATGACTATCAAAGGAAATGGGCCCCCCGCGCTGCAATGACTATCAAAGGAAATGGGCCTCCCGCGCTGCAATGACTATCAAAGGAAATGGGCCTCCCGCGCTGCAATGTCTGTATCAAAGGAAATGGGCCTCCCGCGCTGCAATGTCTGTATCAAAGGAAATGGGCCTCCCGCGCTGCAATGTCTGTATCAAAGGAAATGGGCCTCCGGCGCTGCAATAACTGTATCAAAGGAAATGGGCCTCCTGCGCTGCAATGACTGTATCAAAGGAAATGGGCCACACACGCTGCAATGACTGTATCAAAGGAAATAGGCCACATGCGCTGCAATGACTGTATCAAAGGAAATGGGCCACACGCGCTGCAATGACTGTATATAAGAAAATGGGTCACCCACGCTGCAATGACTGTATCAAAGAAAATGGGTCACCCACGCTGCAATGACTGTATCAAACGAAATGGGCCACACGCGCTGCAATGACTGTATCAAAGGAAATAAGTCACCCGCGCTGCCATGACTGTATCAAACGAAATGGGCCACCAACACTGCAATGACTGTATCAAAGGAAATGGGCCACCAACACTGCAATGACTGTATCAAAGGAAATGGGCCACCAATACTGCAATGACTGTATCAAAGGAAATGGGCAACCCGCGCTGCAATGTCTGTATCAAAGGAGATGGGCCACCCACGCTGCAATGTCATTTCTCAATATGTGTACTTGTTTAATATATATATTTTCATATTTTACTGTAAATGGACTGGCATCCATCTAACATTCCCCTTTTACCTCCCCTGTAATACGGCCTTTTTACTCACCGACTGTGCATGAACGGACTAGACAGCATCTTGTAAGGATCAGGAGGAGGGCCCAGGGCAGAGTTAGGAGGGGGAAAGAAAGCGGGATTTAAATGAAGTGCTGGCGGCAGTGTATTTGGGGGAGGCATGCCTAGAGGAGGAGGAAGCCTAGGAGGAGGGGGCATAAGGTGTGGAAACTGCATTAGGGGAATTGGAGGTGGCCGGTATGCAGCAGCCAAGCTGGGAGATGAAGGAGGAGGAATAGACATTGGGGGATGCTGAAGGGTCATAACAGGAATGCGGGAAGCATTGTCCATGAATGCAGGGCGGGCATAGAATGGCAGTATGCTTTTCGGTGCCTCTGCTTGTGGTGTGGGTATGCCAGGTTCAGGAGGGGCTGCAGTGCCATCAAGGGAATCCACAGAGCCCTTGGAGTTAGCACGCGGAGGGATTTCTGAAAAGATAAGAAAAGGGTTTATAAGGCCGAGTAAAAGATTCCCTCACACAATCAATCCCACCACCTATAGAGTCTTAATTTAACAAACCAAGTTATAGCCAATATGTGACCTTTTATTCAATATAACAAATCAATAATGTGTAAGAAAGGTTAATGTAATTACGAAATCTAGGCAGTTAAAGTACAAAATGTGTACCGTCACTTACCCTAGTAGGTCTATTCATGGCCCACGGAGTTGAATAAAGGGGATTGAAAATGTGGTCATTTTTGGTGTACTGACTTCTCACATTATTCATGGACATCAATTTGAGTAACACCTAGCCCAGGATCCCATCAGAAACCAGCAAAGGGCGTTTTACCTTTTGTTATTACTGGATTGATGACAATCCCACCAATATCTGGGGCAGTAAAAATGTACTATGCATTCAAGTATACATACAAAACCAGTAAAAAATAAAATAAAAAATCTCTCAGAGTGTAATTAAAAAAGCACCGTGTTTCTAGGGGTTACATACATGTGATGGCAGATGTGAAAATGTCCTACATGTGACAGTGTATTGAGGATAAGCCAGCTTGTCTTTGATGCTTTACACTGTACTTGCTCAACAACATGAGACCTGTTACAGACGAGAATAACAAGGTGCCCGGTTGGTCACATACAGCAGCATTTCTACAATGTCTACCCATTCCACCTGCTTTGTTTAACTTATTTCTCCCCAACAAACAGCTACTAGACAAAAACCAATGGAACCATGGGTAAATAGAGTAAAATACATAATGAAATATTCTGCCTATTGTTGGCAATTTAAAATAATTTACCTTTTAACTACTTGTTGAAAATATACAAAACTGACTTTTGCAAATATAAGATGATTTTCACAATACACGAGGGCACACTTACTAATAGGTATTCTATTTATTTAATTAATATGCAGTTACAAGGGCCCTCTAAGCACCATAAGCTCTATATGCCAATGTAGTGGTTATAGTGCCATTAGAGTCCAAGTGTCATGCCCTTGAGTTTGGTCAACCAGGGGTTCCTGTGCCAACACATAGTGGTTATGGTGTCTAGACTGCCACTTTGTTTTGTGAGCACAATATCTTAGCTATCTATATATTGTTGGGGACAAAATAAATTTTTAGGCCCAATAAACAGACAACACAGTTGTATTAAAACATTTTCATTTCTTTGGCGAATATACAAATATACTGAAGACAGATACTTTATAGCATTAACATGAATAATCCACATTATATAATAAGGATTGTTACAATGTTTTAACATCAGAGTTAAATTGAACAATCAAGTTTTCAAATGTAAGTACAAATCACACATTAGGTTCTGCATTGTGCCTGCTCACATAGACAATTGACCTTTGAGACTCCGGTTGTTGTGGGGTGTAGTTCCCTCAAGCCTCAGCCAGTAAACAGCTGGAGACCCAAAGGTTACCCACCAGTGGGATACATTAATAGGGTGATGTCAAGTGCCTTACTCTTTCGTGCTAATGCCTCGAAAAAAGATAGGTTCTGCCGATTGGCCGGTCGCACATCCAACTTCTCCCCATTCAGCTTCTTTTGAGGAAGTTTCTCAAGCAGTTGGTTCATTGAGGTTTCTGAGGAAACCAACACCTCTGCATACCTACGCATTTTAAAACATGTAAATGGAATCGCATCATTAACAGCACATTTATCTCATAAGGAAGAAACTGTAACCAAAATACTTAATTTTTCCTTGTTCCTCCAGGAAAAAGTCCACAAGATAATTAAATGTTGATGTTCACTCCCCAACACTGCCGTCATGCATTTTGCATGCCAGCTACACATGTTCAAACACCACAATAAACGCAGTTGCCTTGATAAGAAAAGCTATCACCACACCATGACAGGTCCCTGCCTTGGTGGTGCCAATAACACTCAATTTTAATGACTTTTACCCAATTACTATAGGGTACCTCTTGTCGTGCCATTATTCCAAAAGATTCAGAAAATGTATTCCTACCTGTGAAATTCCATTGCCTGTTAGACCCTACTAAATTTCTTCCATTTATACCTTCTACAGATAGGACAGGATATGCTACATGTCTACAATGGGACTCTATCCCCTGATATAGGCAAATCAATAAAGAAAAAGCCAGCGAAAGTCATGCAATGCAAAAAAAACATAAAAGTATTCAAGGAAGGGGTGACCCAGGCGCTGCCAACAGATGAACAAGGATTACAAATTCTTGATTAGGAATTTAAACGTTCCTCGCCATCCCTGGCAGCAAGGTACCGAGAAATATTATAGAAAGGGGGGATAGAGAGGTAAAATTAGACAACTATACCATATACCACGTACTCACTCAAAATCCCGTTGTAAGAGGTCAAATCAATTCTGTGAAGTCTTCAGGTTGACCCACGTCACTACTTGTCAAGTAGCCTCCACCTTCCTGCCCTTTGATGCAGCCAGTGTAGGAGTTTTAAGGCTTCTGCGGTACGTCTTCGAGTAAGTTGAATCCAAACTTGATCACTCAAACAATTTTTTGATTGCATGTAATGTGAGGTCTACTGGCACACGAAAAAGGTAATTGAGATATCCCTAAACAATCACCATATGCCAGTCTACCAACTCCACTTTCATAATTTTTCTTATCTTGAACAAAACCATCTCCAAGGCCCTGGAAATTGCAGACTAGATTTTGGGACTGAAGTCTGGAAGTGAAAACTCAAATGTATCCACAAAAATCCACATGAACAAAGGTTTGATAGAAAGCGCTTGTATCTCTCCCACTCTTTGTGGCTAAGTGTTTGCCATCAAAGCGTTTATTTCTGCTAAAACTAAATTCACATCACTAAGACCAAATGTTGAAAGGCAGTACTGTCAGATGATATATGGCGAAATTCAAATTCCAATGCTGAAAAACACTAATAGGTATATGTCGAATTCTGGACTTCATTGTATACTTCTACAGGTCACCCAATATGAACCCAAACTGTAACGGATTTCAATTCTCTCAAACGTTTAAAAGAAAATGACGAATCTGTATAGCCGATGATTTTAAATGAGCAGTAATGCAGGAATTACACCAAATGGATGATTTCATATTCTACTTTATAAAAATATTTTCGAAGGAGAGGAGAGATTCCTTCCACTCTTCAAAATTTTAACTTTTTTGAGAACAGTTGTCTCTTAAAATATTCATCTCAACCTCCAAGTGGTCATCAGATGTCAATGTTTCAGATTTATCCTTGTCAGGAGTTTTGCATGAAGTAGAAGGATCAGTGGAGTTGCAAAAGACAACCTCGTCAGTTCTAAGAAGTATGCTCGCCTTTGCCAATCCAGGTTAAAGTGATATATATTGGTCTGAACGGGTGGCTTTGTGAAAGGGAGCAGACCACTAAGAATCCACCACTCTTGGATTCAAACAATTTGCCCAAAATGAAGGAAAATTTACAACTTGTCCTATCTTGTGGGAATTAGAACACCATACATGCTACTAGCATTTTCCATAATTGAACAGAGGAGACTTTCTCAACCTCTCAAGCGAAATAATGGTCAAAATGTGTTTCCAAGCCCCTTTTGCTTAACTCCACTGCAACTTATTCCATTTGAAATCCTCCAGAACAGAACTCTTGGAACAGTATTTCCGTCTCAAATTAACTTAGATTTCCTAAGAACACGGAGAAGACAACCCAGAGAAATAGTTCTTACTTCTCGGGGGAACATGGCACTGATACGATAGAGAAGGACCTCAGCTATCACAGTGACAGACTTGAGACAAGTAAAACCCAAAACCTCCTATTTCTTAGATATGTTAGAAACACATTTTTTTGGAAAGAGGTCAGAAATAACCCAACAAAAGCCTGTTTTGGTTTCAGATGCCTTTTATCTCTATTGACAAACACAGAGTGAAGCATGTCTACGAATCTGTACATCCATTGAACAAGTCTTCAGTTTCTGGTGGTCCATGAGTGAAAGAACTGCTAATACTTTTCTTTGACTATGGGCAGCCACTACTAACATCTTTGAGAAAACATGTAGCATTGTGGTAAACTCAAACTGCAGAATATGGAACTTCATTTCTTCTGTTACTTTTGACCTGGAAATGGCAATTCTTGAGAACCTCTAAAAATCTGTATTACCAAAGAAGTCAAAACTGGCATTAGTTCTAAGTCTAAAGTTACTATACGGTCTATTGGTTATATATTCCATAGAGTTGATCTCGTGAAGTAGAAGGATCAGTGGAGTTGCAAAAGACAACCTCGTCAGTTCTAAGAAGTATGCTCACCTTTGCCAATCCAGGTTAAAGTGATATTTATTGGTCTGAACGGGTGGCTTTGTGAAAGGGAGCAGACCACTAAGAGTCCACCACTCTCTATTGGTTATATATTCCATAGAGTTGATCTCATGGTCAAATGTATCAATTATTTACTTGCACTGGCACCCAGAGATACATAGCATTGAGTTTATTCACGTGAAGTATACGTTTTTATCTATAGAAGACAGAACAACTGTGGTAATTTCCTCATGGTAGCTAGGTTCGTACAATTTATCTTGAAAAACCTGAAAGAAGGGGTGCATATGTGTATAGACGTCCTTGGAAAAATTCCTATGTTTGGTATATACAAAGTAAAATGTGTCTGTTTACAGCTTTATCCAGTATATTTCAGGAGACATGCTAAGTAATTCATGAGGTATAGGAGCAATCATACTCAATATACCCTGGAAAGTCTTCCTCTGACCGTACTCTTGTTTTTAGTTGGAGGAGGTATTCTTGGACTGTGGCTTTGAGCCATGAATAAATGATTTCCTGAATCTTGAAGGCTGTCTCCATCTTCCAAAATGCATTTAAGGTCTCCAGAAAAATGCTGTATGAGAAGAACAATACTCCAAACAATCCATAACATCTCTGATGTGAAATAAGCCTTCAAGCATCATAGCAACATTCTTAGATAAATGTACATGTGTCCAGTGGAGGGGTGATCTGCTACTTTAATTTCCCTTCATCCAATGAAAACTTGTTTGCACTGAGATTTTATATTTTCCGACTTATCCAGAAGCAGTGTGTTTAATGGAGATTTTAACTACTGAAGCCTATTATAAAAGACTACAGTCGCTGATCAATAGGATAACTTTTCCAAATGTATCCCAATGCAAAACTCTCCAACTGGATACAAATATGTCCTTTCTGAAATGTCGCCCCAACTTCAGACACATACTTCCCGATCTATCTTGGGAGATTCCTCCTAGATTCTGCTGTTTTCATGTTTGCCTGGTACAGACATCCTATGAAACAAAAGCACCCGAGTACGAAAGGATTAAAAACTATCAAAAAGGAACTTTCTTCTCTCTCTAACCTTACATGGACACATAGCAAGCTTCCGCTGCTACACCTGGCCTCAATGCATTTGGTAACAGACAAAAATGAGAAGAAGACAGACAAAAGTAAGCCTTCTCCTGGGATAAGTCTTCTCTCCTGACATAAAACAGACAAAATACTGCCTGTCTATAAAGTAAAATGTCACATCATAGAGGTCTAGCTTACCCTGTCCTATCTTCAAAAGGCAAGGCCTTTTTTTATACTAATTGAGTTTGGGTATAAATAAGTCCTTTAATATCACATAGTCTAAATAGCCTGCATAAAACACAACTACATACTGAAGTACTACTTGTCAAAAGGCTGCATTTATCTTTTCTGCCCTGAATATAAACAGCATTATAGCCTCTGTTTTTATGCTGGTTCCCTCCCCCCCCGTACAGCGTGTCCACTGTACTTTCCTGGCTGAAACATGTAGGCAGACAAGGCACCATGGTAACACGTTAATCTGGAAGAGTGACAGGTGCACTGGAGAAAGTATTATTTCATTTGGTTTCAGGGAGATTTAAGGTTAGTGTTGCAATTCAGCTGTTGGTAAATAGTCAGATCAGAAAAATTATACTGAGATTCAGCTCATTTCAACGAGAAACCAAACTGCAGACAAATGGAAATTTGACACAATGTAGCAAATAGTAACAACTGTGTTTAGCGAATAGACCCCCTAAGTGTATTGTTAAAGGAACATTCTAAACAAAATAGCCATTACAACCTGCAGTAGTGCGAATAATTTGACAACTAACCTGGTGTCCACAGTCACCTTCTCTGTAACCAGAAAGCTCTATCATTGAACCAAGTCCAGTTGAAGCTCTTAGTCCATGGGTTGGGCCTGCATGGCAGGGCTTAGCTCAGTGGAGCTATCGGAAACTCCTTTTAGGAGCTCTGGTTCCAGGGAAGGCAGCACTGGGCACCTGTCGTACCTCACGGAAGTTGCCAAATTACTACTTACTCCAAGAGAGAGCCAGGGAAGTCCTAGCACCTTAACTGCTACCCTTGGCTCTAATGGTTTTAGTGCTTGAGGAATTCCTTTAATGTGGAGTATTAGATAATTAATATAAGACTGAAAAATAAATCATATTTGCTTTCTCGCTCATACAATAACACGTGTTCTATGAAATCTCATTATTCATGGTCTGTTCTGGACTAGTGCAATAATTACTTGATCCTAAATAACGACGTGCACTGCTACCACGATTATAGTATCAATTGTACATGTCTCTGCTCCCTTTAACTGGCATGTAAACACTGCAGTGTCTGCCATTCTCACAGCTTCACCTGTCCTATTTCCCTGTAGATTGTATGTGTGTTACCAAAGCTCTCTCTAATCTATTCAATAGATTTATTTAATGTCAGTCCAACTAGGTGCTCTTACTGTGCACTTTAGAACTCTCCAATGTTAAAGAAATCATAATAATAGTTACAGCTTTCTCCTCTCACCCTTTAGACTGTCCGTTAGCTCGGTTCTCTGCAAACTTCAGCTCCACAGGATCCCGCACACCAACAGAGCGGATCGCAGAGAGAAGCTGCTGATCTGTCGTCCACTACGAAAACAGTTTGAAATAAAATGAAGACAATGAATTTATAAACTCAATAAATAAATAAAAATCATCTCTGTTAATGTGCAATAAAGACAATTTGTGGCACTTGCCTTGGTCACAGAGTAGTACTGTTTTTTTTACAGTACATTCTATGTTCACTGGTAATACAGATTCACAGGTACAAGACTCACCCATGTGAAATTTCCAACATATATTGATGCTTTCTTGCGCAGATTGTTGTACGTATACAGGATGGAAGGAGGTTTGTTTAGTTTGGAAGCTGTTGACTGTATAGGAGATGGAGGTTCCATGAAGACACTTTTCCCATCATTGATTGATGACGGGTGACTTGATGCTGCCAAAACATCATCATACAAGTCTACCTGCTCAGCAGCAAATTCTGATTCCTATTGGGGGTAGGGGAATGAGGAAACACATGTAAAACACGTTAGGATAAGGAAAGATTAGTATATAAACATTGGTCTCAATGTGACATGGAATGTACAGTGAGGGGAAAAGTATTTGATCCCTGCTGACAAATGATCAGCCTAATTTTAATGGTAGGTGTATTTTAACAGTGAGATACAGAACAACAACAACAAAAAAAACCCAGAAGAACACATGTCAAAGTTATACATTGATTTGCATGTCAATGAGTGAAATAAGTATTTGACCCCTTTGACTTTGAACTGTACTTGGGGGCAAAACCCTTGTCACAGAGGTCAGACGTTTCTAGTATTTGGCCACCAGGTTTGCACACATCTCAGGAGAGATTTTGTCCCACTCCTCTTTGCAGATCCTTTCCATGTCACCAACCCCTTACCGTCGTTACGGCGTACTATGCCGCCCAGGATTAGGTGAATCTAAACGTCGTTTGGGCGGCATACTTCGCCCTAACAATCGTTAGCTCCCCAGCCGCAAGTTGCTTAACTGGACCAGCGACCCCGGTCCGAAGGGGACTGCCTCTCGAGACAGGCAGTCCCGCTGCTTCCATTTCGCCCCTCCAGGGCCATGTGATCACATCGGATGCCGCAGATCACATGGCAGCAAAGCAGTCTACGAGACTGCTTGCAGGGGGACTGCCTGAGTGTTCAGGCAGTCCCCCTAGCATCTGAAATTAAAATAAAAGTTAGAAAAACACATTCAAATATATTATACATGTATAATATATTATAAGTTAATTAAAACACCTGATTAGAATAGTATAGATGTATAATATAATAAGTGTATTTTGGTATTAATATATTAAAGGAACACAACAGCGTTAGGAATACAAATATGTATTCCTAACGCTATTGAGCCCTAGTCGCGGTGACAAGGGCCCCTCCCGCAGCAAATAAATGGTTAATTACCATTTACATGCTTACCTTAATCCAGCAATGGGCTCCATCAGCGCTGGTGACCTCTCCTCCTCCATCGACATCAGCTCCCGAGTGGAGCCGAATGTGCATGCTTGGCCCGAGGAGCGTGCGTATTCAATGCTTTCCTATGGGGATCTTTTTTGACGCTGGAATCCGTGAGGAAGTCCAGCGTCAAATAAGTGCGATTTACTCTGTGTAAGTCACGGAAGCGCCTCTAGTGGATGTGGCGAACCGAACCTCGCCACGGGCTCCTGAAGGAGCCTGCTTGCCAGTCTCCTGCTTCAGGACTATGGGCCCTGCAATATACCTTGTCCAATGCACTTTAAAAGGCTCAGTTCATGGGATTTATGTACTTTTGTACTGCAGAAAGAGAGACCGACCGTTAACCCTGATTCCCTGAAACTGATTTGGGCATAGGACCATGTGAACGGTCGGTCAAAATTATGACTTCCATGGAAACCCCGAGCTCCTCATCCGATCTGGGTGATTTTTGGATATGTTGGTTCCTCAGATCGGGGCTTTCAGGGGATGTGACTTTTGTGGGGTTTCCATGTGTTTTGGGGGCACTTTCAGGGTGTTGTTAAAATGTATGTTTTCTCTGCCTGGAGATAATTGAGTTTAGTACAGTTCCTGACTCAATTATGTCTCAGACACAGAGGAGGGATTATCCTGTTTTGTGTGGGAGAGCCCTGGACCTGAAAACCAATGTAATTACAGTGTACTATGGTCCCCCCCCCTCACCATTGATGAAGGTAAAAAAAAAAAAAAAATCTCAGCCCTGTGTAGCACAGAACATGAAACATTTAGTCCTGATTTATTAAAAAAAGAAACAATTTCATATAAAATGAATTTCACCACATTTAAATCTATTTCTCTTCCCCTGGCTTCACACATGGAACCCCAGGGCCTGTGAACATTACAAACTGTGCTCCTTTTACCTATACTACTCGATAAATATATTCTACTTCCTCTCCTTATCTCTCACATAAAACTTTGTTTTATGAATTTCATGTCTGTAAATTTAAGGACTTCTAAAATGTGTTTTGTATGTTCTGTTCTGAAATGCCTATTCTCCTTTAAATTGTTGCCAATTATATTTTCTAGTCACCTTAAAAAGGACTTTCCAAGCAACATACCCGCTACAGTTATATAGCTAGAGCGTCCTTTAGCTCTCCTGAGACAAGGCATAGAGCTCAGAACTATCGCAATCGCTCAGCCAACAAGCTAAGCCCAGTAATGCAGTGTTTAGACCAGAGAGCTTTTTGGATCTCCATCATTAGGAGCGGCGGTGGGGAAGAAGTCAATCTGTAGTGGTTATGGTGCTTGGGGCATTATTTTAATCAAATGAAACTAATATAGGCCTTAGGCAAGCCCCACTAATGGGCAGGACTTCAAATCAGATTTCACTTTACACTGCGCTCTCTTTTGTCTTGGTTTTTGTGTGTGCTTATTTTACGTTTTTAAGATTTTAATCAAGTGATTTCTATTACCATGGAAAAGTCATACTATATTAGTCGTAATTTCTTTGAAGTCCTGTCCTTTAGTGGGCCCATCTTCATTAGTTTTCATTTGATGTTCTAAGATAGGGGTATCCACTAAAATTGACATTTTTTGCATCTGAGGCTGTTTAGTGTATATTCTTTTAATTAACATGAGATCATATCTATGGAAGGAACAAATCTCTCGGTACATAAAAATCGCACAACATATAAGCTGCGGTCGCATGCTGAAGAAATAAAGATTCGTTTCCTGCTAATCAGTTATACAGCCTAAATAGCATCATAAAAATATGACGTTTTCATGACATTGCCTAGTGAATATTACACTACCATAAACACTTTTCTTACACAAGGAAACAGATATCATCCTGAATTATTTGCAAATACCACACCTTGGATTTCAGGAAACAAACTTATATTATATTGTTATCTTTGCAAATCTGCTTGAGGTTAATCTATTTATTTGATTCAATTTGATAAGAAATAGAATTTGTATGAAACTATACTACATGGGCATAAAAATTACCTGACTCTAACCTCTGATAACTATGATGATAAACTGGGGACCATTCAACCTGCCGTTCTATATCAAGTTCCAATCGCCACGGAAACTGCTGGAATGTTCCAGCTCCTCCCTGTTAATCTCTTTATAAACGACCCGAATGGCATACAAGCCAAATCCTAACTTGCCAATAAAAAAGTTATGGCGATTGTCTTCTACATTTTATAAATATCTCCTATTGTGTTCTGCAGTTTAGCTATAAGGGCGTACAGTACAGTTTGCCTGAAGGTGCGTTCAGTTTACAATATTAAAATATATAATATTTACAGCACGGCATTGCTGGAATCAATGTGTGTTTACTTTCAAATTATAAAAATATGTATACTAGAGGTAAACTAACACATGACCAATGTTTCATTAAAGGCACTCTCCAGTGCCATGAAAACAAATCCGTTTTCCTGGCACTGCAGAATCCTGCAGTTCCCTCCTGCCCCCATGCCATGTTGCTGAAGGGGTTAAAACCCCCTCCGTAACTTACTTGAATCCAACGCCACTGCCCCTCGGTGCTGGGTCAGGCTCCGCCCACGCTCCTCTCGTGCCATCAGCCGACGGAGACCTTATGCGCGGCAATGGTCGCGTGCGCGCATTAGACCTCCCCATAAGAAAGCATTATTCAATACATTCCTACGGTGATTATGGCGACACTGGAGGTCCTCATGCATAGCGTGGGGACGTCTAGCAGTGTTTAAAACACTTTTCATGTTTTAAGAACCCGGAAGTTCCTCTAGTGGCTGTCTGATAGACAGCCACTAGAGGAGGACTTAACCATGCAAGGTAATTATAAAAACTGCAATAATTACACATGCAGGGTTAAGGGGGATGGGAGTTGGCACCCAGACCACTCCAATGGGCAGAAGAGGTCTGGGTGCCTGGAGTGTCCCTTTAAATCTTCAGGCCTGAGAAAATAAATAGACTTCAGAAAGAGAGGTCTAAACTGTCTTATGTGAGTACGTTTGCCTTAGTTTAAACAGTAACTAAACAATTAGATTTCAGACAGTATCCTCAAAGATCACAGCTTGAGATACAGCCACAGCATAGACGCAGAGAAAGTAAATGTAGGCTCTACGGTCTCTAAATGATGTCAGCAGAGAGACCACCTTAATTCATATCACATGTATGACAGTATGTCCATGTCCCTGTTATTTGCGAAGGTAACACATCAACAGATCTGTTTACAGGCTGGTAATTAAGTCATTTGGCTGTAGCTTCCAGGAAACAAAATATTTCACAGGTTTTATTTTCATTTCATGACGCACAAATGATTCTTCTAGTTAATATCAAATTCAATTAATCTAGAATTTAAATTAGAGTTTTATTTAAAGTCACTAAACTTTCCTTTTTGCCTTTGACTGTTTAATAGCACACAAATAAAGAGTTACATGTGAAGGGACATGTAATGTGCCCTCTGTACAGAAATGGTATACAAATTAGGGTCTACACACTGATACTCCATGCAAACCCCTAGCTTAATCAGCTGTCAAGCAGAGATACGCACAGTCTGTGCATCAGTTTCACATTCATTTTACTCTGCACCGACAAAGATCGTTTACCTTTAGCTTAGATTTCAAAAATACATGTTGAATTTTACAGCTAGTAACATGACACGGGGAACTTCTTGCTCGTTTAAGATCCTTGTACTTGGTTTGGATGGCTGATTGTAGCAGTAATAATTAGGATTATTTAATATTCAGTATATCTATAGAGTAAATGTAGCCCAATAATAGGAGGGGCAGATTCATTTCAGCTTTCTTCAATGTTAAAATGAAGAAAGAGGAAATAGGCTACCTTTATATTTGTCAACACAGGATCTTTAAGGACATTTTCGTCTACTGAATCAATACTGGTAAAGTATTTCCAAGATAACTGATACAGCGAAGTGTGTTTAATTTGTCGCTTTGTAGTTGCTCTCCCCACATTTGTACAACTGGCTCAGATGATATCCTGGACTATTGTACCCATGATTCAGAGCCATTAATGTAGAAACTCACAGCTAGATTGTCAAAGGTTAATCAGCATTGCTACCGAGCCAAGTAAATCAAGGGCCAACAACTGTCTATTTTTATAGAAATGCCATTAGAACGGAATCAGAGAATTACTAAAACCTAAGCTGTTGATCCACTAGTATTGGTTTGAGAACAGAATGAGCTTTAGTTAAATGGCTCACAATTCTTGTATTCTAGATATTTAATGTTGGCCCATAGCCTCGTTCCCGTAATATCTACAATCGGGATGATCATATATGTAGGCTTAGTACATGCTATAAATAAATCATATTTATGTCTGTGTTCGAAATGAGTACAGTATAGCCAATGAATGATAAAGGAGGATAGAGCCACTGTCTTTCATTTAAAGCATTCAGTTTGTTACGCAAACATTTAATCAGAATTCTGTTTTGGATGAATGACATTTAGCTGGCAGCATAATGAAAATTGCACCAAACCCAGCAACATTGAGAACTGGATTTTTTGGGAGGCAAATCCATACAACCACAAAAGCTGGCGGTCCAGGATTAACACTGAAAGTTCACTCGATAATAGATAAAAATTATTTGTCTCTAACATTGCAATCACACACACAAAAAAGTCTTGTTGAGATGACATAGAAACCAAACCCAATGACAACTCAAAATCTATTCATTTAAACAAAAAACGGATTTTACGACAAGCCAGAAACAGAGCTTAGAGATGGTAAAGCAAATGTTTTTAAACATTCTGAAAATATGAGTTGGTGACATGAGTTCAAACAGATAATTAACGGAATGTTCAACATTCAGACGTTGATTTGGTCTGAACTTATGTCTCCAGCATTTGTGGGGTTTTTGATGGGTCCAAGCTGATGTTACGGAGCTTGCAGGTGCGGCTACATGGGAGCCTTTTGGGAAGTACAATGAGGGCCCCTCTGAAGATTTGTAATGTGCATGGACAATGTGGCACTCATGTCACAAATAGGGGTATGTACTCACTGCAGAAAATCGGCATGGAGGTTGGCACTAAATCAATTTAAACAAAGAATGAAATGCTACAATTCACTTTTTAAAGGTTCTATGAATCGCTTAAGCCTATGAGTGACCAAATGCTAATTATGATACAGATTACACTGCCCTCCCCCACCCCGGTATATTATAATACACTGCCCCCCCCCGGTATATTATAATACACTGCCCCCCC